GCTGTCCACCGGAGGGGCGCGGGGAGCCCCGTGCTCCACCCCAGGTACCAGCGGGCTCTGAGCAGGCTGGAGATCTGCACATGAGGCCAAAGCCAGATGGGCCCCGCGGGGAGAAGCTGCGCCCCGGGGCAGCCCAGGAAGAAAGGGCAGCTGCCGAGAGGCCGCCCTGAGCAGGGCAGGGGGGCTGGCCCACAGCACGGACGGAGCGGGGCTCGCAGCGGCCGGGGGGGGGGGGGCGGCAGGCAGCTCCCGCGCCCCCGGAGGCAGCCTGGGGTCCAGACGCCACTGGGATGCAGGTGTCCCCAGACGGCCCCCCGCCTGTGAGGACGCCCATGCTCAGGGGTGCGGGGAGAAAGGGACTCCCGAAGTCACGACGATGACCGGTCCGCACAACTGCTGGCACGTAAGAGTCAGGGAGCGAAGAGCTGCGCCCAGTGAGGCGTCACTTTAAAGGCCGCCGACACCCCAGCGATTCGCAGGGCGCAGGCCAGGCCGTCCCACCGCCCTCAGGAGCCCCCGCTTCTCATCGCACGTGTGTGTGAGGAAACCTCCGTCGGCCTCGAGCTTCAGCTCGTCTTCAAAATGCAAAATGTACAAAAGGGTCATCAAGAAAATTTAGAGACGATCTTTTGTCTATTTTGTACGTGGCCCAGCGGGTAAATCAACACCGACCCCAGCACCTCCGGGCGGCCCTGTGCCCGGCCGCGCCGGGAGCCCCGCCAGGCCCCCTCGCCCCCAGACCCTCACTGCAGTTACTCTGGGCTCGCTGGGCCCCACGCTGGCCGGTCGCGGCGAGGGCCTCTGTGTCCACCTTCGGAACAGCGGTCACGCGGGACAAACGGATAACGGTGGTTCTCTGCTTTGAATGCGCTGACGTTGTTGAAAGTCAAAATCGAACTGCCACGACGGCAGTTTAACTGACAGACGGCGCTGGAGCCGTCCTGGTGTGCAGGCCGGGTGTGGGGGACACTGCCCGCTTCGTGCCGTCGCCGTGGGAGGTGACAGAGCGCCCGAAACACGGCGCGAACCCCGCTGACGTCCACTACACGGTGACGTCCACTTGACATTAAATGTCCCGGTGTGACCCTTCGATGACTTTTTAGGCCAGTCTCCGAGGAGAACCGTCTCCTTCAAGGAAACCACGTGAACAGACATGGAAAAGCAGACGCCCACCCCTCAGCGCTGAGCGCCCACCCTGAAGCCCCCGCCCTGGCCCTCGGGACCGGGGGCGGCAGCTGCCCCGTGGACAGCGAACCCGCGAAACGAGGACGTAGACAGGCAGAACTGTTTTGCATCATGAGCTTGAACCACTCGCTCAGGCCCGGAACCAGCCTGGCGGGGAACACTCCACGGTCACTCTCGGCGGACACAGGATCCCTGGAGCGCCAGGGCCAGCGGCGGCGCCACAGTGACCCCTTCCGAGGGCCACGCGGTCACTGTGGGAATGTGGGGAGGCCCCGGGGGCGAGAGCCCTGGACACAGCCACCTGGACCTCTGCGCCTGGCCCTGGTGTCCACAGGTACTGGCCGGCACCCGAGGAGCCCGAGACGGGGAGGTGGGGGGGGGGGCAGAAAGGTCACGGTGTGGGCAGCGGCCGGCCTGATGCGAGCGGGGGTGTCTTGCTCTGGGGCCGCGTCAGCCCGCGGGGACCCTGCGATCACGGCTCGGGCAGCAACAGCCTGTCCACTCTGGGGCCGCAGCTGCGGCCTCTGCCAACTCTACCCAGGCGCCCGGGCACCCCTGGGTGGCCCCGCTCGAGCGGGAGGCGGACTCGCGCTGAGGCCCGGGGGACTGGGCGTGGCCGCCGGGAGCCGCGCCCAGGGCCCACCTCCTGCCAGCTGGCAGCTGGGGTGAACGGCCCCTCAGCCCCCCGGGGACCCCGCCTCCCCAGGGAGGGTGGGGGCTGGAG